GTGTAATCTTCCTGCTTTATGGATGTTCATTCATCAGCTGCCGTGCATGGTGATAAGCGTCTTAAAAAGAAAATCCAAGCGTCAGAGTCATGGTCTGCACAAAAGGTCACTACGCAATGTTTACGCAGTACATTACAGGTCGGTCTACAATAGCCCAGTTTAGGATTTGTCATTCAGGTACATTTTGGGAGGTGGTTTTCCTTATTTTTCATTCATAGCTTCATTAAGCTAAGCGACTGAAACAGCAGGTTGCCTAGATACAATGCATTACAGCTGAAGGTTTATATGCACAGAGGCCTAAAACGTTATCAAAATAGACACATGAGGACAGAGCCAAGCATTCAGTTAAACACCAACAACCAGTAAGGGCCTAAAGGCAACCATTGAAACAGGCTTACATAATTAAAATGTCTTGATTTGATGGTTTAATAGGATATTCAGTGATAGGATTATATATTTTTCAGATTGTGTAATGCAACAAATGTATAGGCTGTAAAGGCTCTTTAAATAATTGTGCAGATAAATCTAAATATTGTTGTTGTAAAGAGGTAGTAACAGCTTGGTGCTACATTTTGACCACATTGTAATGCCTTGTCTGTCACATGTTTGTGTTGTTGATATAGTAAACCTCCAAAACTGGTATGACTCTGTTTTGTCTCTGCTTGGCAGCTGACTGTGTTCATAAAACATATTGGCTATCTGGCCCCCTTATTCTTTTTAAACTTCCAAATCTGACAGGATCGTTGTTTACAACTACAATTTATACAATATGTATGTTGGCAGTAAACTGGTCAGTGATCTATCTGTAAAATGCCAATTGTTTAAGAATATGTTCTTATGCTTTCACATTATTAGTTTCTATTTTCTGCAGTAACATCATGACTCACTGGACTGTTTGATAGAAATCTGTAGCAATCACAAAAACGCCCCAAAGCGCACAGAAGGCAACTATAACACACATTTCACCTGTTAGGCAATGCAACAAGGAACAACCATACATTATCATTGCGTCTCAATAATGAAACAGTTCTAATGAAAACAGCTGTTTTGTTCTCTGCAAGCAGAAGTAGCAGTCACAGGATGATGTGTTTATCTGTGATGTTGAAATAATACATGTACAAAAATTAAACACAGGGCAAAGTTCAAGAACAGGTCTGATTCGTATTTTCCAATAAGTCTTTACATGGATTTAAAGTCAACGTTGCATATGTATTTAAAAAACTGTTAATTTGATAGACAAAATAATTTCTATCCCTATGAATTATTGATGTTATATTGTATGAATGTATAACAATTAGCAACTACTTTTCATGAAATAGCTAGCATTCCAGTTATCAATACTTTCATGCTTATGTATAAGCTAAAACCTTTCCCTCATGTAACAAGCATCCTGTATTTACCAAATGTGTTGAGTATACGAGAGAAAACTCACTGGTCAACAACTTATGTTTTCAGAGGCTGCAGTTGCAAACTCAGCAGAGGCTATCTGAAGTGAGGATATTTGGATACCATTGAAGTACAGATAGAAAGTAAGGCTATAAGAAGCTAGATTGAATAATTAATGTTAAGTGTTTACTTGGCCATGTTGCCTCCAGACAACAGTTTTGTCATCTGTTGAACAGGCCTGTAAAAATCACTAACTTAAATTACATTCTGCCTTGAGTGATCGAGAAGATGTAAGCAGTGTTGAGTCTGTGCTCTTTGTGTTACATAATCCTATGCTCCACTTTTTAGGTCACTGCTAAGAGACAGGATCTCTTGGAGCTTGGCCAGCACACACTTTCATTAACACCACCTGAGCAGATGAGAAAACACAAGGGTCGTAAATCTAATTACAGCTACAGATGATGATATTGTGCATCAGTCATTTATACCTGACAGGATAAGTCATGTCTTAAGACCTGATCCAAGTCCTTTGATTTTCCTGTTTTGAAACTGTGTTTTCCGTTTTAGAATGCATTGTACTTACTTCTGCATTAATAGGGGAAGCATGTCTTGTGGTTCCATCAAACATGATGTAATACATATATAGTGTACTAAAGAAATCAGAATTCTCTTCACAGTTCATGTAAAAGAGAATCAGTTTGTAAAAGAAAATAAATTCAATCTGTTTTTTTAAATGTTATTCCAGTAACAGCCTGATTCAAATCACCTTGGCTCAGGACAGGATGAATGATTGGACTGCCTTCAAGGTTAAATACAATATTAGAGTGGTTTTTCCTTTGAATGAGCCTCATAAAAAGGTTAAAGCATTTACACACCCACTCAAGGCATAAGATGTGGGTAGAATCTGAAATGATTTTAAGAAATTCACCCACAGCTTTCCATCAGATACCATATTATTGCATATTCAACTGCCTAGAACTATATTTAGTGGTTGAAATGATGCCCCACTCATAAGAGGATCCATTACAAATACTAGGCTATTTTTTTTTACCCAAGGATGTTTTGACAACTTTAACCACTGGTCAGTTTCACTGAAGCAGTCGGTTACTTGTTGCCAATATGACTTTTGTGATTTCAAAAACACTTTTAACCATCACACATGGACAGGCACTGCAGTGTCTGAACTCTACACATCTTAGCATTTGGAATAGTTGTCTAACACATATACACTGCATCAGCAGAGATTAAGCAACCCATATGTTTATAAAGTTATTAACTTGAGTTACCTCTGCGAGTTCTGCACCACTAAAGGGATGGACACAATTCATACCTAACCCACTGGGACAATTCTGAAATTAGTCATTCAGCATGAGTACTATTGAAGACTACAGTGCATTTTGATCCTTTAAGATTTTAAACAGTACTTCTCAATATTTACACTGTAGTGAGTCTACTTTTAAGCAAATGAAATATCAAAGTACTACTACAGATTATAGGAACACCTGGTAAAGGCACCTTCCTTGAAAGCAAACAGCTAGTAAAAACCAAGATCTGCTAGTTATTTAGAAACCAAAACCTTTAATCACAGTATAAACAAAAGTTGAGGAATTAAGAATAATGAGTCCAGAATGTCCCCGAGGAAAAGCCTGTTATCCAGCAAGTCTTCAATCAGCGCTCCAGCATGTGTCAGCTGCTGCAGCTCCGCCGCCTCGTGTTGGGATGGGCTCCTGTTGTTAGGATGGGCCCAACTGACAAGACTTCACACCGGGAGGGTCCTGGCCTGGGTCTTCAGCTGCTGCTCACCGGGCTGCTCGTTTCACCACATGTGCTGCCACAGCCATGGCGGAGAAAACAGCTTACTTGGACCTCTGCCTCATCTTCCTCCTTTTACGCTTCAGTCTGAAAAAAGGGTTTACAAGAGGCAATGAGACTAAAATCTTTCAACATGTTGTAACTTGTATTTGGTAGACTTGATGTGTATTTTGTAAATTGTCTTATTTCTACTCTAACTCTATGCATACTTCTTAATTATTGTTAAGCGATATTTCGCTCTTTAGTTGCTGCAATATAAATGTCGCCTATGTGGGACGAACAAAGGTATTTTGATTCCGATACCATTGCATTAAAAAACGTGCGTCTTACCTGCGCATGCGCTTCTTCCTCCACTGCAAAAAAAATAAGAAAGACGACGTTAAATGACTTGGTTAAATTATGTGCATTTTCTTAAAAAGACATGCACATGTTTGCAACGGCTGTTCAACTACACATACAAATGGCATAATACAATTGTTACAACTAAAAGCAAGTGAGAATGCCGTGCTGGGCCGTTGACATGCTCAAACTGGCTAGCTCACTAATGTTAGCATCACCAGGAACAATGATTATTTAATCATACAGACATGAAGTACAAACCTTAGCTCTCATGCCGAGATGAGAAGACTGAAAAGAGAAGGAAACATGAGAAGGATTAGTTGGATTGATTAAAAAACACCATGATTCACATGGATTGTGATCAGCAGCTAAAGTCTCACTTACCGAACGCTAGGGAACCGTCTGCAGGAAGACCGTCAAAACATGGCGACGTCGTTTTTATAGTGGTTTTCATACGTCATCTTAATGTGACCGCGGGAAAATATAGGAAATGTAGTTTTTCTGAAAATACTAGGTACGTCAAGCCAGCACCATATAGATAGTTATAAGAAAATATAATATAGTTATATTATAATTCTATTATACAGCTCCGCGTCAAGCCATAACTGTAGCCTTTTATGTGATTTGCATGTATCTTGACCTGATCTTCACCCAGTTTATATTTTATTTCTTCATAACTTTGTACTGTGCACAGATTTAAATTATAAATTATAAAAAATAAAAATAAATTAGGACGTATTTTATATTAGTAGAGATTTTTTCTCAGGTGATTAGTAATACTATATTGATTCAAATATATTGTCTTTAGGGCCATAGCTAGCATTTATAACAGTCATGTGGTATTTTTTATATTTAAACTGTTGTGTGTGTGTCTGAATTTCTTTTTATACACGTTTCTGTATTTTTAGGCATAGTATGCTCTTACAGACCAACAACGAACTAAATACTGGCGCTTCTGAATTTTTTCCACCCAAAATATTTTTCCTGGCAGTGGTGAAGGATTTAATTAAGTTTTCAATCAAAAAACCAATATGAATATAGCTTTAGTTTCATCATAACCTCAGTAAGTCTAAAATACATTCTACAGACTTTTCTCATACCAACAGTGTGTTTGTAGTACACACGTTAATGCTGGTTGTTAAACTGTTGTATCCTGATTCAGATTTTAAGTATATTTTAAAGTTTAGGATTTTAATATCACAAAATTATCTTATCAAAGCATATCTAATTATGCCGTATATGTGGTCATATTCCCCAATAACGTGTTCATAATAGATGATTCCTTACTTATTTCATAACCCTTTTTACCCTGTACCAATCTTATGGTTTATGACTGATTTATGCAATGAAATAGGATTCATTTTATTTGAGGGTTGATCATTAGTATTCAAAATCATAAAAAACACATTTTTCCCCAGCATAATAAGGTGAATACACGCAGTCCAAAGACACAACTACACAAATGATGTCAGGTGGCTTTTTAATGTCTCCAAAAATAGTCTCTGAAACTAGGATTTGTTTTACAAAATCATCCATATATCATCAGGTATGGAGTTCCTATGTAAACACAGACTCGATGGTGGCACCAGAAAACTGAATGCTGAACCCTTGGCAGGAGTTAGACCATCCACAACTGAGAAATATTTTCTTGTTAAATTGCTCAACTACAAGGTCTTCAGTTGTCAGCTTGAGAAATTGTTAGCAGAGTAACCTAAAGTTTATTCCTAGAAGAGTACACAATGTACTAGAGTAGACGGACTAAGCGAGAGCAGTATAAATGCAGTAATTAATGTGACTAATGTCAATCAATAATAATGATGTCATGCTTAAAACTTCATGGTTCAAGACAGGTGTTACACATTTCTGCCCACGACAAGTTAAAACTCATTTCAAAATGCATGGCTTCAGTTTTAGGACCTCAAGGAATTTATCCAAATGCCACACAAAATACACTGACACAGAATTGTGCATTCATCATCCTTGGCCGCTCTGTCAAACTCATTTTATTTTCCATCTTTCACTACAGTTATGTGGATAAAGGGACGAAGGCTCAAGGAGAGTCGAATGGTTAAAATGTTCCAGTGACTATTATGCCCTTTCACAAAACATCCTCTTTTGTAGCAGAATTGTCCACTGTTAAGAGGAGAGGCTGTCTCAAGGACAATGAGATTTACTAGGGATGTACAAGTGTGTGTGTGTGTGTTATAGGTGGAGTGACAGAATTTAGGAGCAGCATCATCCCAGACTGACATCAGTTAGATTCAGAGGTATTCACAGCGGCTATGCCCGCAAGTGCCTCAGACAGCTGGGAGTCCGGGACAGAAGGATTCATGACGTCTGTTCTTTGGGTCATCACACGTCTGCTAGACACATTTATTCTGCAGCTTCGGTCTCCATTGCCTGTCCGGTTGCAGTCTCAACAGTCTTTGTAGCCTTTGAAAAAAAGATACAGATATTAACAATGATAGAAATTTAATAAAGGAAAACATTTGGAGCAAGTCTTTTTTGATGCTGCCCTGTAACTCACCTTCTTTTTCTTCTTCTTCTGAGTCTTGCGGCTGGCTGAGCTTTGAAGCAAAGTCTTAAAATGAAAAAAACAAAACAACAATGACTCATATCCTCAAACAAAACATCAACACATGATGGCTTTGAGATGTAGCACATTTTACCTTCAGCTCTTCGTCCTGAACCTCATGCTCAGACTTGTAGAGGTCTGGGTCAAAGAGGCTGTTTGTGATTCGCAGAGGTCCATTGGCCATGAGCAGCACGGTGAACTTGAACTGGGCAACACATTCACCTGGACAAAGAAGGGATTGAAAGTTACATTAAACGGTCTGACTCAAGCTTAGAAATCTAAAAGTTACAGTTCACAGGGCAAAATAAGACATGGACACAATTGTACAGATATCTCTAGAACGAACTCTACAGTCAATGCCTTCGTCCTACAGGTACTGTCAGGCTCGAGACTACGGTCACTGCGGGGAAGTCTTCTGCATCCCAAACCCATTTTCCATTGACAAGACAAGACAAGAGGAAAACACCCGGTTCTTCCCTGATAATGCTACATTTTGAACAACAAATATTAAAATACACTAGTGCTGTTAGTTAACAGAATAAAATGAAATCTTATTTATTATGACTTTCCTTCGAACTGCATATCAGAAGAGACAGGTAGAGTCTTATCAACACTGCCAATCAGAAGAATGTATGAATATGCTTCTCTTCAAAAAATTATTTAATTTAAAAACTGCAAATGACTTCATTCTTTTGCAGAATGACAATAATGAAGCAAACCCTTTCAATGTCACGTACTGCTACAGGTACCAATGACATAGAAATACAATATAATACAGTCTGACAGTTTGAGGACACCCCTATACTTTATTTTCCATGGGACAGAAAATACTTTGTCTACATGATAAGAAATTGAATATTTTCTTTAGTACAATATGTCTGACGATTGAAGAAGTCACCTTGGGCTGAGAGAAATTCTTTTGGACGCTTTCACCATTTTCTTTTGTCCTTTTATGGGCAATTCTATTTATCAACAAGAAATGTCCTAAATGGAACTCTTAATATGAACTGATGTTTCCCTGAACTTCCTGTTACCTTCAGGATGCCATTTTCTATTTATTTGGAGGTCAAATACCAGAGGATCGAATTCGGTGTATGGACCACTAGTTGCTCAAAGCCAGAAGGTTAAGGAAATAATAAATCACCCTGGCCGACAGATTTAGGTATAGGAACATTTTCCAAAGATTTCCGAAGAAACGTTCAGACTTCACTTCCTTTTGTTCCCATATAAACAAACGTATACGATTGTTTTTCAACTAAGCGCTTAATTACAGCCCTTCATGTTCCCCTCACCTTCTTTCTCATGCAGCACGTTGAAAGGCTGCAGGAGCTCATGTTTGGCACACTCCACCACACCCAACCTGGCCTTGCCTTCATCCTCAAACGCTCTGGTGACGCAAACAAAGAAAAGAATAATGAGTGGGTGAAACTTCTGTTTTTTAAAAGAAAAATTCAAGTGAAATAATTGATGTTTAGTTTTAAGAAGCTACCTCAGAGTGAACGGCATTGTATCGAAGCGCCTCTCCATCTCACTGAAGAATGTTCGAGATGTCTTCATCTTTAAGCCGTATACCTTGTTGGGGTCTCGTTTGTAGACGGTGGTCCTCTGACCTCCATCCCTTGCCTATGTTGCAAAACATTATATTAGATGTGCTTTTAAGAAATTGTAAAAATGAAGAGAAACAAATCACATTACACCAAGTTTCCTCTCACCTTTCCCTCTCCAGTGCTGATGAGCACATCCACTGCATATACCTCATGCACTTCAAACTCAGCCTTCTCATGGTCCTTTCTACAAAAACAAAGGGACCAAATCATCCACTGTTAAAAACGCCCATCCGGTTCAATGTTAGGTTAGACAGGAAGTAGTGGTTGAGTGAACTCACTTTTGCTGGTCTGTTGGGTTTTGGATGATTGTTTTCTCCCCATCGATCACATGTTGTTTGAGCTGATGGGACAGCATCCCTGCACACATTGAAGGAATATGCTGAGTCAAGCTGGTCAAATGACATTCGGAAATGTATACCATTGGAATCACAAGGATTGAAGGTGCCAAATGTTCATAAACACCCACCTTCAATAGGGGAGCACTTGAATGACTTTGCAATCTTGTTCCAGGCGTCTGTGACCTGGGAGTTCTGATGGAAGAGAGGAAATGATATTTATTAGATGAATTAAAAAAAAGTCAGGGTGTTGCTTTTGTCAGTGGTCATGGCGGGTGAGTTTTACCTTGTTTCCTGGCTTAACAAGACGAATAGCAGCCTCAGCACACAGGTGCGCCGCAATCAGGACGTCAGCCTTGCGTCCAGTCAGTGGGGTTTCCTGAAGTGACACAAAAGGAACATTTATTAGTTAGATATAAGAGGTCACGTAGCAAAGTTTTACTAGCCATTAATGGTGTCGTATAATTCAACGCTGGCGACAAACCTTGGTCACTCCAACAACGAAGCTGTGAGCCACATTTGAGATGAAGCCATCAACGTGCACACCCAGATCACTGTGTACAAACAGAACAGGAAAACATGAGCCAGAGAAAGTATCTGCAAACCAAATATAATCTATCGTGTATCTAGTTCACAGGATGGACAAGGGAGACATTTTGAAGCTTACATTTTGACAACGTCTCCGTCCTTCAGTATGACATCAGGGTCACTCTTCAGAGGGGAGTGATGGCATACGGTGTTGTTAACCGACACACAAGTAGGAAAAGCACTTCCTGCGAGAGAGAAAGAGGGTGAATGAGGAGTGCTGACAGAGACATTGATGATGACTGGTGATGAACTGAAACAATAGACATACCTTTCTTCATGTCTTTCTCCTTCTTGAAGATCTTCCCCGTTTCTGCCATGACAAAGGCATCTCCCTTTTGGCACAGGCTGAGAACAGAGACTCCAGGCAGAGCTGCCTCGACCACTGTCTTCAGAGCCTCTGCAGGACGAGAGAGAAAAAGGAGACATGATGAAGTAAAAATGGTAGGTCAGTAAGCGAGTACATATGGGCTGCAGCTGATGATTATTTGCCTTATTGTTTATTTGAATGATTATGTTTGGGGCAGTTGATTAATATTTTTGTTCCACTAAACATTATAATTTATGAAATTTCCAAGAAGATTTTCTAAAAGTTTATTCGCCTAACCCCCAGTTCTAAACAATATATTTTCTTTTTATTTCTTTGATTAATCCCTAATCATTTCAGCAGTATTAAACAGGCTCACACACTGTGGAAACATAGCACGGTTAGTTAAAAGAAGACTCTTGCTCACTGTTCAAGGTTCAATTAATGGCTTGTGTGTGTCCACAGCATTAGAGCATCATTACACTGTGAACAACTAAACTGGAGCAACGTCAAGTAGAAAACAAACATCTGACAGATTGTCTGACAGCTATACATCAGCTTGAAACAGCATAATGCAAGCGGTAAATTAGATGTCTTAACCTCAGATAAGTAGGTCAGCTGGGATAAATGTCAATACAAAAAAGGACACACGGTGTCATTTATGCAACACTGATGTAAAGACCCTACAGAATGAATCTCCACAACCTAGCAGAGGTCCAAGGACAGACTGGGAATGAAAACCGACAGTCACTAAAATGTATACAGTGAGCCACATGATGTTCTTTCCGTAAAGACCAGGATAATTGGAAAATTGAATATGTTAAGGCTAAAGTTAAGTGTTTTCCTAGCAACACAAATAAATTATCCGACATTAGTTTAGTTCAGATTAACTGTGGCTAACACGTGGAGGTTTTACTATGGGTGTATTTAAATGGTGAAGGTCAGCTGTTCATTAGACTGTTGGCTTGCCAAACAAAGACTGTAGAGCAGCTGACAGGTGTGAGTAACATTTGAGTGTTAAGATGTTCAATGTGAAAAGGCGTGTTTTAACATGCCTTTTAACTGGGTTAATCAAATGTAAAAATGTTATATTTGTGTTTTGAATGCTAAAAAAAAAAAATCGGAAATATTGATATGCCTTAAGCTTTAAATGCAAAAGACTGATGCTTTTAGGTTTGTTGGATTAAGATTGTAATCACATACGAAAAACAACTTCAAGGTAAACTATTTATTCCACACTAATGATGTTGTGTGCATACACGTGGTCTTGAAAACACTATTTGTTTGAACCACAAGCAATAAAAGCATGTTTAGCAACGTTTGCGATTCATGTTGGTTACTAAAAATGTACAATGTGATTTAGTTCAATACGTAATTTTAGTTGGACAGGCAGTAGTGGGTATTTAACTCACGCTAGATTATACTACTTACTTCTGACTTTAAATGACACCTTAAAAAATAACAAGATTTCCAGTTTCTCAAGTTACATAACACTTTTATATATCTCAGTTTGAAAGCCCTGTATGTTTAAATTTAAATGTCGGCTACTCAGTATTTGAAACAAGCCCATATTGTTGTTCAATTGTATACTTGTCATTGTTATCCGTTACGTTAGCAGTCGAAGCTAGCTAACGTTTGCTAGTGAGGTAGCTAAGCCACATAGCTGCTCAGCTAGCTCACCAGGCTAAGTTGACAGCAAAGGGTCCTTTAACAAATATGGGCTGTGTTAAATAAAAACTCGACCTAACATTACAAGCTATAACAAGCGTTATGCTGTATTGATATTAAAACAAGGCCCGCTATCTAATATGATCTGCAGTTGGTACTGATGCGGCACATGGCACAGCAGCTGCCTGGGTATGACTAGCCAACACTGCTAGCTAACACTGCTAGCTAACATCACACGGGTCCTGATACTTATGGACAGTCAAAACGGTGCGTTAAAGCTGCATTTCACTCACGATTCGCAATCTCGGCCCCCATCTTATACTTGGTGACCACCAAGTCATCAGCGATGGTCTGCTCCTGTGAATCGTCATCTCCAGACATGTTGGCAGTGTTGTCTGCGAAGTCAAGAGTAACTTTTTGCCCGGCGGTTGTCAGTCAGTCACAGTCACAGTACGGACCACGCTGCACACCGATCGGCCCGCCCGACTCCAGCAGCACAGCTCTAGATCCCGCCTGCTGCCCAAGACACATTTTACCGTCAAGATAGTTCACGGCATAGCAGCGTCTTCCTCGTCGCGTTACACCCGGAAAAGGCAAGGGTGATATTTTAAATCACATCATCTGTGTTTAAAATTAAACCATGGACAAGTATTCATAGCCAACAGCAAAGTATACTCGCTGTTAATGTCTTCCTTCTGGCTATGGCAGTCTTTGCTAATCACTTACTCACATGAGTCACTTAATTCCTATGGTATGGAAGAAGCAACATTGATTGACAAGCTGATACTATGTTACAGTATGTATGTACCATACATGTGCTTTCAATCAATCAATCAATGTTTATTTATATAGCCCAATATCACCAATGTTACATTTGTCTCAGTGGACTTCACAGTTTGTACAGAATATCAGTATGACAATATGACACCCTCTGTCCTTAGACCCTCACATCGTACAAGGAAAAACGTCCAGAGAAAACCCACAGTTTAAAGGGAAAAATGGGAGAAACCTCAGGGAGAGCAACAGAGGAGGGATCCCTCTCACAGGACGGACAGACGTGCAGATGTCGTGTGTAAATTGAAAAGATAATACATTAACAACAGGTTGTCCAAATGTTTGGAAATGCATGTGTCTATAATAAGAAGATGATTCCACGAGGATATCCATCCAGGACTCATGATCCAGGACCACAGAAACAGGATCAGCCACGACTCAGGATCCCGGCGTAGATAGACACCAAAAAGACATTTGGGGAAGCTGGGTTATTCGGAACATGAGAGTACACAGGTATAGACATAGACAGAGAGAAGGAAGAAGTAAGGTGTCCCCCGACAATCTAAACCTATAGCAGCAAAACTATAGGGGCTGAATCTAATCAAAAGCTCTAAGCTTTATCAAAAAGGAAGGTCTTAAGAGCACTCTTAAAAACGGATAGGGTGTCCGCCCGAACACAAACTGGAAGCTGATTCCACAAATGTGGAGCTTGATAAGAAAAGGCTCTGGCTCCCATTGTACTTTTAGAGACTCTATTGGAATTATTATGGAGTTATTGGAACAACCAATAACCTGCATTCTTGGAACGCAATGCCCTACAATAGGGTATAATGAGATGGCGCCTGCCCATCAAGGTTTTTTTTAGGCGAGAAGAAGAATTTGAAATGCTATCCTGTGTTCTATAGGCCAGGGAGCCAGTGTAAGGCAGCCAGAACAGGAGTAATGTGATCCCTTTTCCTAACTCTGGTTAGTACACGTGCTGCAGCATTTTGAATCAGCTGAAGCGATTTAACTGACTTCTTGGTACACCCTGATAATAAAGAGTTACAATAATCCAGCCTTAAAGTAACAAGTGCATGGACTAGTTTTTCTGCATCGTTTTGAGGCAAGATATGCCTGATTTTTGAGCTTTTGATTAATATGTTTATTTATGATTCTAAGATATTTATAATATTTGTGTTTATGATTCTAAGAGATTTCAATGTGTGTTTATGATTCCAAGACACTTATGTTTTAGTCGATTATTTAATGATTTACACTAATATTGACCTGTTCCCTATTTATCAAAAACAATGACAATGTTATAATTAATGTGAGAAAAAAATCAGAATAAGGAAAGATCCCATTTAAAAGAAATGGAAAAAGGCAGCACTGAACTCTCACTTCACCGATCATCTTTGATTGTCCTCCGACCAAATCGCGCGCGAGTGTGTAACTGATGCTTTCACATCCCTCCATCTCATTTTCTGCTGTTATCTGTATCACAAATACCTCTGTATCCTCTGTACATATTCAGAGCACATGTGTACAAATCATTATTCTATTTGTAATACATGATAATGATTTGAAAAAGTAAATATAATATAATGTATTATATACAAATATAAATATGTCCGATGTTTGTATTAATTTACTACTCACACAATGAAATGACACAGTTTATTTGATGTTTGAAAAATTACTGCATTTATTTATTTGTATAATAAAACATATTGGCAATAACAAATTGTACAAAAGACTGCTCTACAGAAATGCGTCCTCATCATCAAACTAGCCTACTAAACATTTCACAAGTCTTGTAAAAATGTCACAACATATTTATAGAAAATGCATGGCAACAAAGACACACAACACTATCATGCATAATAACTTTTTGTTGAGGAAATTGAAACGTTTAAAATGTTCTAATTTGTTATAAAGTTTGATATGAGTAGTCACTCATCATGACACATTTGGCATACATTTGCTGTCCAGCGTCTCGTAAGTCTGGGCACCATATGGTAAAGTACACTAAAATAAACAAATCCATTAATCAAAAATACGCAGGTACAGCGTTTAGGTGAACTTTATAAGTCTCAACAGACACTTTCAAGCACACAACATGTTTCCCTTTATTTTGTGGTTCTGCACCGACTCACAGTTGGTTTCATAAACATTTATATACTGCATAAAACTGTGAAATGTTGCACAGGTGGTGTATTTCTTTTATCACTTGAAGCTTTAAAGTTTGTTGGATGCTCAAATTCTTCAGGAAAAACTTAACAAAATAACCCAAGTTTATGGCAGGAAGGAACATCAAGCGGCAGTATGTGTCCCAGTCCACGTCATTAGGTAAGTACAGCATCTGGCTTGATGAACAGTCTGCTGTGCCAGTAGTCCGGGTTGTCAAATGAAGAGTTACTGCCAGGCTCCCCCATGCCAGCACACACCTTGATGTATCCCCCGATCCCCGCACACCTGCCACTGCCCATCTCTTCAGAAACATTTCTCCCCTTCACTGGGAGGTTCTGGTAGTCTGCCTGCTCCCACCCACTGGGCAGCGCTCCAAATCTGGTCATCTCCTCATACTCCTCCACCATTTCTGCCCCAGCTGTGAGCACATCTGGCCTGGGCATGACTATACTGCTCGTATTTCCCTGAAGTGCAGGTTGTTTATTTATGTTATGATCCTCCACTTCCTCTTCCTCTTCCTCCTCAAGCTCTTTTTTCAACACCTCCACTGTTTGGTTGGATGCCTCTGCGGCACTCTTTGCAGATGTTTGACTCCCACGTCTCTCCCATGCTGGATCCTGTGCCTCCGTAGAATCAGATCGCCTGATATCCATGTATTCATACCTGCCTACTCCTTGGGCTGCCTCTGCGTTGTTATCCGCTGCTCTGATGCCATTATCCGAGGGAACCGTGAGTGGATGTTTCTCCGTGGAGTCTCTTTCCTCTTCAACACCTGCTTCACAATCCTCATCTACTTTTTTACTTGTCACAGCTGAGGCTTGTTTCAGAGTTTCAACATGTGTTGCGTTCTCTATAGGTAATGGATTCATGAAGGTTGGTGAGGGTAAAGGTGAGGTTTTATGACAAACAGCAACAGAGGTGGCTTCTTCCGGTAAAAAGACACTGCTGTTTGAGCAAGAATGAGCACTTGACTCTTTGCTCATTATTTCATACTCCAGAGAGAGATTCACCACCACGAGAGACAGATCATTCTTGAGTCTTGAGTTTCTTCGTCCAGAATGAGACACTCTGACTGTGAGCCAGGACAGAATAAGTCAAAGAAAAAAGGTCAGGGGGAAGAAGCCTTGATTATGAATTGCTTTTGATAATATTTATTTACTTTTAATACAGTCAAGCAGATAATATGATAAGTTAGCATGCTGATAGTTTACCTCTTTCAGGGGTCACAGGTGATGCAGCCAGGACATAGCCACAGTTGTCCACCTCCTCCTCTTCCTCTGCCGTCCACACCTTATAAGAGGAAGGGCTTGATGCTGTTGAGAGTTTCCTGTTCTGTCTGATGGACATACGAGGAGTTCCCCTCTCGGAGCCGAACCTGGCCCTGTGAAGTCTCCCGCTCTGTGACCCCTCCTCTCGCGGCGCTGCCTCTCTCCCTCTGAACTCTGACCTCTCCGGCAGCGTCCGCACCGAGCTCAGTCGAGACCTCTGGAGCCACAGCTGAAAGAGAAAAGCAAATAATTGATGAAGCAGCTAGTACAAATCAATAGTATTATTTTCAAATGAGACCAGTGGGACCATCAGAATGATACATTTAGTCTTACTTCCTGAGGCCATGACCTTATTGCAGGGCTGGGTTGTAATATTGATTTTTAGGACTATCAGCAAAGTGTAGCACTAATACTGATTGAAGAAAATGCTGTTTAAAGTTAGAGCTAAATATATCTATTACCTGAAGCGGTGGGAGAAGAAGCCAGGCTTTTACTTTACTCTGTTACAAGATAAAATCATGTATTCAAAATGTATATATTAAGTTGCATGCAAAAGAATGCACTCAAAGTACAAAAAGTAAAACTACTGCACGGCCTTTTTCCGAATAATATTACTATTTGTTATACTTTGGAATTTCACAAAGGGATCAATCACACACAATAACACTTGATAATAATAATTTGTGAGGTTTTATTATTGATCTGAATTCAGAGTAACTAAAGCTGTCAGATACATTTAGTGAAATAAAAAATAAAAATCTTCCCGTCACCAATCCCCTGTGCGATTACAGAGTGTGTGAGTGTGTGAGTGTGTGAGTGTGTGAGTGTGTGAGTCTGCATCACCTGACGGATGCTGTCCACAGGGCTGGGCGTCATCGGCAGGTATCCCACAGGTCCAGCCTGAGAGGTACCACTCTACAATTCAATGTAAACAAAAGTGTTAAGTGCTGGTTTCCTCTGCCTCTGATGTATTAACAATAATCCCCAAATAGTCTTAATAACAATTCTAAGGTGTATTTCATTACCCTGTAAGAATTAATCCGTGAACGGGACAAACTCCAGGATGGAGAGTGTTGGAGAGGAGGAGTCGTCAAACCGTCCTCCAGCCCCTCCTCGTCTTCGTCCTCCAGATCTGCATCCAGAAGCCCTCGCTCAGATTCCCTTCGATGGCTCTCTACCAAGGCAGCCTCTTCTCCTTCCAACTATACAATAAAATGGAAGTCAATTGTTTAAGGTCTTAGTAAACAGCCAGTGCGACTAAGCAGTACAAGTAATG